ATCTATTGATAATTGTAAATGTATATTGACATACATTTAGTTAAAAGAAAAAAAAAAAATGTAAATAAATAATTTAGTTTTTGGGAGAAGGGGTGGGATTAAATTAGGGCTGCTCGATTATGGCAAAAATCATAATCTCGATTATTTGGGTAAATAATTGTAATTGTGATTATTAAATGCGATTATTCATTGACTTTGAAAACATCCATTTATTGGAGAATTTTTTTTTACATTTTTTTTTACATTTTAACAGTATTTTTTTAACAGTTGATTACCCTGAACTTTAAGTATAATTCAACTGAAAAACCCAAAAAAAATAATATAATAAAAAAATAATCCTTTTATTTCGATTACGTTGTTTTCGTAATCGTTGCAAACCAGTAATCGCGATTAAAATACGATTAATTGAGCAGCCCTAGATTAAATAAGTGTAAACTTCTTCCCACCCCTTTTCAGGTAAGTAGGCAGATCATTTGTTTAAATATCATTTGTAAGTCAATAATATTTTTGTTTATCAATTTGATACTGCTTAAGTTTGTACATTATAATTATCATGTTTCATTTAATTATAATTTTTTGTATTATTGTTTTACACATTGGAAATAAAAAAAAAAAATCAAATTCTAACGTGAATCCCAGTGACTCTCTCTGATACAGTCATTTCAAAGATAGCAACACTAAAAGTGCTGACACAGAAGCACATGAAAAGCTCTCTGATGTTCCTCTCCCGCTAAATATGATTGCCTTCTAAAGAGCAAGTTGTATGGCTGATTAAACCTGCACGCAATACTGCTCTTAAATATCACACTGCAAGAACATCGCATGTATAGTCAACAGGATTAGGCTCTGGAGGGATTACCTGTGGGATCTTAGCGCTGCGATAAGCGAAGCAGCCGACAGCTGTTTCCCTCGGAGTCAAGTTTTGTTGAGACTCTGTGATATCTGTGATCTTCTGAGGGAGCTCGGCCTCCATCTGATAGGACAGGTTGTGCAGGATGCAGACGCAGTTCTCTGTGGACTGAAGAGCAGACATGTAGATAAATAATAAGTATGTAGGTAAATAAACAGTATATATATATTTATTTTATTTTATATATATATTTTACCTCCTTGTGTCTCTTAAACTGCTGCATGTTTCCAAAGAAATGTTTTAATGTGTGCCAATTTGTGAATTGAAAGCACATGGTGAATGAAAGGTACTATACGAACACATCTTTATTATTAAAATGCGGTTGTGTATGCATCAACAAATGGATATATATAGCACATCCTTTCACCTTGTCGTCCGTCTTGTAGTCAGCCACCGCCCCCCGGATGTAGTAGACCAGAGAGTCGATCAGATTCTCACATTCCCTCATCGCCTTCCTGCCGTCGGGACCGGCAGAGCTCAGATTCCTGGAAACAGACAGAAAAACAATCGAGGTCATGTGACGTGTGTGTGTGTGTGTGTGTGTGTGTGTGTGTGTGTGTGTGTGTGTGTGTGTGTGTGTGTGTGTGTGTGTGTGTGTGTGTGTGAGAGAGA